ACCGTAACTCTTGGTGCGAGAGATGGGAATGAGAAATGGAATGAAACGTTTGGGGATTCCCTTAAAGGAAACTACAAGAAGATAGTTTACAAGGGTCATTCCATTTCTTGCCTATCGCACGGCAAAGAAAGGTTCAAGCAGTTTGTTTGCGTGTTGGCTTCAACTTGCTGGGGCTGGACACTATCCCATTTCGCAGCACTTGGGATGGATGAAAACCTATAAGCACCGCCTAGATAGCCAAGTTGCCGCGCTTTTTTTTCAGTGACTGTTGCGATCGGTTGGGGTAAAGTGCATGGAAAGAAGCGATCGCAACTGGCGATGGTGGAATAACAAGGGATACATCAGCTACCGACTGCGAGTCGGACGTCCGCAAAGTCCGTTTCACGGGGCCCGTGGTTCGGATCCCGACAGGCAGGATTTGCAAAGGCTCCGAGAGCGGGTAAGTCAAGTGGCAGAGATTGCCTGGCCAAAATGCCACGAACTTCCATGTGCTTAGGAGCATGTTTTTGTATTTGTTCCTATTGGTTTTGAAGAGAAGCGACTTCGCCTTCTGGAAAAATGTGTCTTCGGTTTTTTTTGTTCCCAGGGGGCCTGAAAACGCCAATGGAGGCGCAGTGTGCTTTGGTGGCTAGCCATCCGGTTCCTTAGCTTTTTAGCCTCTTAGTGTTTAGTGGTTGGATTTCCATTTCCGCCACTCAAAGTGATTCACTGTTAGCGGGGGATCTGAAAACGGGCAGCCCCAGGTGTCCTTTCCGGTTACTTCCGGTTTGTTTTTTTTCGGCGCTTGGCTGCGACATTCTAGGGGTTGATTCCTTTTCCATTCTTTTCAACCATCGTTATTTCCAAGAACCGGATCCGTTTTCCCTGGGTTTCCGGAGGTTTTCTAGAAAGAAGGATGACTGAAAAGAATGGAAATGGAAGGTACCCCAAGAGACATGAGCTCATGTCGCTCGCTCAGGTCTGAGCTCCACGACGTCACGGAGCGCATTGCCTGGCGCCGAGTTTTTGACCAAACTCCCTGAAGTTCAGAGTGTTTGTATTTTGCTTTTGGGTGTGGCTCAAAAAAACGGAATTCCAAAATGGAACCCTGGTAAGTGGAAACATGGACCAAAACCTGCGTAACCCCCCCCCCCCCTGTTTAAATTTGAGCCACAGCCATTTGAGAGCACCCCGGTTTAGCTTATAGGGAAACCAGGAGGAAAGCCATCCATCATGTTTGGGGGCACCCTGCATAGCCACGTGGATATCAAAATAGAGAGGCTCCCAAATGGTGGACAAACACACACACACACACACACAGACACATGTTTAATGGAATGTCCCCTGCGAGAGGTTCTTACCCAGCAAGTGGTCATTTTGATAATTGTTATAAGTGGGGTCAAGCAGCTTTGAGAGGTGATGCATAGGTTTGGATTCTCCTTCCAACTATGCATGTTCTTGAAAAAGCAACATCGGGTAACCTCACTTGGCGTTTTGGACGGGTGATTCAGGGAGTTGAAACAGCTCATGTATGTCCCGTTTGGGGGCAAAGGAAACATGACAGGGGACCGGTTACTTGGTTAGTTGGCGTTCACCGACTTAGTAGGTTACAACCCTGGTTGTACGCGGACTGACCCCAGTAACCCCAGTTTTAAGCATGGTTGCAACCTACCAAGTTGCTTGACCCAAGTAGGGGATACCTCACAAATCGATCCGGGCTCCTCGCATTCAAGGCGAACATGTTGCCGGCACTTCCCGAGTTCCTGGACAAAAGCTTACTTTGGGTTTCCGCAAGCATTAGACCCTCCATTGGGTCAGAACCTCCATTGGAAGGTTTGGGACGCGCCACAGTTTCTCAAGTGTTGGACCTCTTTGCTGAAGTGGCTGTGGCTCAAAATTAAACAGGAGGGGCAAACCGCGGGTTTTGGTCCATGTTTCCACTTGCCAGGGCAACACATTTTGGAATTCCGGTTTTTTGAGCCACGGCCACGTCAGCTATTTGTTTGCCGGAAGTGAGAAACAGAATCCTTCTGGTTCCGACAGGCGACCCGGGCGAAGGCCGTTTTGTTTTTGCTTCCTCAAAATCGCGGGGTCCCTTGACATCCCCCAAGCCACCAGGAAAGCCCAACCTCCATGTGCTTAAGAATGTGTCGTAGTTTCCCTTCTTGGTTTCAAAGGGAATCGATTTCACTGGACCTAGTTTCTCATTTTCTTCCCGGGGCCTGAAGCAGGGCTCCTTAAAAGATACATGTTGCAACCATCTGAAACATGTTGCTTTTTCAACACCAAAATCAAGTTGGAAACCACCATTTACTAGTTGCAATGTTCAGGGGTACAATGTAAGGATCCTTAAGCGAATGGAAGCCAGAGAAAGGCGTCTTTAAAGGTGACCGGCCAGGCGCAAATGCAGATGGCGGTGGAAGAGTTGGCCTGGCGGATGGAGAAGGCACGGCTGATCGGGGGAGGTGGCTAGTGAGACATGTCCCCCAGCCAGGTGCCCTTTCTCACCTTTTTTTTTTAAAAAAAAAAAATTGGGAGGGTTCCGCTACTAAAATAGACTACAGAAAAAAATGGGTACCCTGATTCTAACCTCTCTACTGGAGGACCTAGCATCGCCTTAATACCATATCCACACTTCGGCTCTGGGTGTCCCTGTAAACCAACCCAAGGGTCCGAAGCCTCAAGCAAAAGCGCCATGTGCCGTCCCATCGCCTGAATATTGCGTAATTCACAACCCGGTAAAGTTGGCAGCAAGTTATTATACAGATGGAAGCAACAGGAAGACTACTGGTTTTTTGCCTGGGTTTTAGCGGGAAGCCAACAGGGAAACTACTTGTTTTGCCTGGGTTTAGCGGCAAGACCGCGGTTTTGAGAACCCCCACTTGAGCACATACCTTGTGCCAGGTGGTTTTCCTGGTCATGGTGGCCCATTTGAAGCTACTGTGGATGGTCGAAATCCATTTTACACCGCCTACGAATCCCTGGAATGATACGATGTTCCATGTAAATACCAACAAATGTTATGGTTTCAACCACGGTTTCTTAGGTGGTGCGAACGGATTTCGCAACCACAGTAGTGAAACAAGTCAAGAGCCAGCAGTTGCCCAGAGCTTTGGGACCCTCGGACAAGCCTGGGATGTAGTTGGGGAACCGGCCGACAGCGAACATTGAGGTTGAGAGAGGTCAGGGCTGGAAAAGCAGAGCGTTTGTAGCAATGTGTACACCTAAGGCAACCAAAAAGCCAAAAAGAAAAAATACAGGGTGTGCAAAATTACGGGGGTTTAGTCGCTCAGGGGCGACTTTTTTCGGCGTGGCCGGCCTCTGCAAATCGAGCATTTGGCTTTTCCAAACATTGGTGCATATAAGACCCCTTGCGTTTCTAACCGGACACTCCATGGAACATGTAGCATGTACTCTGGAAACCGTGTTTTTTGTTGATACAGTCTGGGCAATGAGGATTGTCCAAATAATCGTTAAAGCTTCGGAAATCAAACGTTTCCAACGATCGGACATGGCAAGTGGGGCTTATAGAATTGAGCGCAAAGCGATTGCCAATTTCCGGCCATTTTGGCAGACTCTACCTGGTGTCACCGGGTTATAGTGAGGGACATATGGATTTGTGTGAAAATAGGGACCCAACAAAGTCGTTGGTTTTTGTTCGGGTTTACTTTAAACGATCCACAAAACAGGTACCCTCAAAAACGACCAGTCGAACCCAAAAGTCCGTGCGGTTCTAATGTGGACACGCAATCCGAGGATTCCCTTTTGAAGGAAACTGAACAGGGGATGTGCACCTTTTCCACTGGAATCCGAAGCCAAAGTGCAGGTGCGGAGCGACCAGGAGATGGAGATGAACGACAACGGCGAGGAAATTTGAGGCTCGCGTGAATTCGTCGCTCGAGTTCCAGGTCCTTCGTTTGTTTGTGTTGTTTGTAGCATCACCTTGAGTCTGATTCGATGTTTTTCCTTTTGGCAAACTTTGGGAACTCGTTGCGCCACTTTGCCGCAGCCTTGGCGCAAAAAGACAGTCGCCGTCTCACCAGTTGTGTGTGCGCAGCCACTGCAACATGAATTGAAGGCGTTCCAGACAGGTCATGTGCGAGCTTCGCACATGTTTTTGCCAAAGTGTTGAAGGAGGGACCCTTCCAAGTTTAAACAATCCTAGTGGCGCGCAACTCAACACTGCGTATCACCCAGCTCGAATTCATACAAAAAGATCATCTTTTGCATTTGTCCTACCCCAACAAACGTGGAAGTGCACAGGAATGGTGAGACATTTCGCTCAGATATTCCTCGCGGGCCAGGGTCCTCATGCTTGTTTCCTGTCCGACGGCTTACACTCATGTAGCTCTTTTCTTTGTTTGGATTGGCGATTTGGGGCTTTGAATCCCAGTTGTGAAGGTTCAATCCCAGTTGTGAAGGCAAACGGGAAAGTACCCCATGGCGTCCAAACCAAAACCAAGCCAATCGGCGGGAAGCTACGTCGACCTTCGGGTTTTGGCCATTTGGAAGTGTTCTCAGCGGCATGGTGTGTGTTTCTGTAGAAATACCTCCCAAAAAGTCAAAAGGACAGATAACATGCCCCGAACCAACAAAGAAAGGACACCTCAAACAAAAATGCCCATGTTGCCAGGGGTCATAAGGAACTCCCAAGCTGATGCTTGCGCATCTGCTGCAGGTTGTGCAAGCCGCAGGCTGAAAGTCACACGCACTGAGAAGCCAACTTTTTGGCTTGCGAGTTTGGAGCTTGGACATCTAGTTGGACTCTCCCGCCAATTATTTGAATGGAAAAAACATTTGATGTGTCAAGAGCAAAGATATTTGGTTGCTCATGTGTGAAACCGACAGATCTGTTCGGAGACTAGAGTTGGCTGAAAGTGGCAAAGTTCCTCCCATGTTGGTGTATCCCTTTTGCGGGCCCGCATCTACCGAGGTGGTGCCATCAAGATGTTCGAATTCCACTCGAATGGTCCAGTCAAACTTGCCAATTTGATGGTACATCCGCTTGAAAGGGGCGAACTGTCCCTGTCTGATTCTTTGCAACCCCCGGGCAGTGGGCGCCTCCCTTCCCGGAACTGGGTGCCGACCTCTTGGCGCCATGTTGCTCCTCCGGCGCTTCGCGCCTTCGCGCGCGCTTCGCGCCGGCGCCCCGCGCGCGGCGGCCTTTTTGGCGGCGCCAAAAGCGCCGGGCGCAGGCGGGGCATGGGGAGATGGGGGTGGAAGGGGTGTCGTTTTGAGAGTACCCCTCTTTATGGCAGGTGTTAATCAGTGCGGGAACCAAACGGATGACCACCAGCATTTATTCTCTTTTTTTTTGGGGGGGGGAGTGCCTACAAAAAGACACACCCTAATATTGATGTGTCAATGGGGTTTGGACCCCAAGCTTCGGCGCACGACCAAAGACAGACCCAGTGGACACATCTGGTGTGTTGGATGATCCATGGACTGCTGGCATTGAAGCTCCATAGCATCCCGAGGTTAGTGATCTTCCAATATCGGGTTCCATTCCGTCAGGGGGGCCGTAGTTCTGGAAGCTTAGATAAGATCCGACCCTGGCGACCAAAGTGGCAACCAAGACTCTTGACCTGTAGAATGTTCAGGCTTTGGCTTCAGTATGTTGCGTTTCTGGAGGCATTCGAACCCACTTCCCGGGTTGGGCTTTCGCTTTTTTGGGAAGACCTGATAAAACTTGTTGGTGCGATACGCAGGGAATGACCGTTCCGGATGTTGGGAATGAACCTAGGGATTCCCTTAAAGGAACCACAAGGGATTGTATGTATAGGGGTGATTCCCTCATTCCCTGCTGAGAACCAGCAAGAAAAGTGGTGAGTAGAGCATGGCGAACTCCACTCTTCCGTCGCTCCATTCGCCGGGTACGTCTTCCTTAAGTCCGAAAAAGACGTTGGGCTCGTATCATATTTCCGCTGCTTGAACCTAGCAAGCTCTACATTTCAACCAAACCCGGTGTTTTTTTCCTGTTTTTTTTTTCCTTTTCTCGCGCAAGGGCAACATTTGCTAACTGGCCATGTTTGCTCCTTGAGTCGGGAACCGCGATGTTTGATTTCCCGGATCTGATCTAAACACGGGATCTAGGTCCAAAACCCTCTGGAGGTTTTTCGGGTCCAGCCCTCTCTTCCAGAGCTTGAAGTAGACCCTCGAGTTGAGGCTGGGGTCCAAAACCGAGTTTGGCCGTGTCTTTTTTCGAATGCTCCACAATGGTGGCTTTCCTCGTTCGCCACACCTACCGAGGCGTAAACAAGACACCCAGTTGCCCAGGGCTCCCCTTTAAACTCCAAAGGATGCCTTTTGCAAAATCCACTGGGCTGACACACCCTCCCTTTTCCCTTTGGTCCCACAAGGCTGGAAGCCGTTCTTGGCCGTCGCAGCGATCTCATTTCTGGGCAATCGAGACATTTACTGCGAGGCTCCGACTGAGGAGCCTTGGAAGAGCCGCTCTGTTGGCGTTAGTTGAAATTTGTGCCTCTCTTTATGTGTTATGTCTCTGTTTGATCTTTGTGCGTTCTTTTTTCAGTTTGATATGTCTTCTTCTTTATTATGACGATCATGTTGATTTGTCTTGATTTATGTATTGTTGTATTTATATGTCTTGCGTATTATTTCTTGAACTGTTTTGCATTGCTCTCCTCTCTGCTTCTTCCTTTATTTCTGTATTTTTTCTTTCCTTCATTCTTTTATGCTTGCTGTTGGTCTTTCTGCCGGTCTTCGTTTCTATATTTTGCTATGTTTTCGTTTAGTTCGTTCATTCTGTCTTTAGTTAGTTTGTGTTGTCACATTTGTCTTTATTTATGTCTTTGTTTCCTTTGTTGTGTTGTTTCTGTCTTTCTTGATTTCTTTTGTTATGTCGTTCTTTGTTTTTTGTTTCTGTGTGTGTGTGTGTAGTTGTTTGCTCGGCTTGCTTGCCTGCTTGCTTGATTGAATGATTGATTGATTGACTGATTGTTTTGATTGATTGATTGATTGGTTGGTTGGTTGGTTGATTGATTGATTGATGGTTCTGTTTGTTTTGTTTGATTGTTTGTTTGTTTGGTTGTTTGTTGCTTTGTTTATTTTGCTTGTTTGTTCGTGTGTCTGCTGTTGTTTGTTTGGTTTGTTTGGTTGGTGTGTTGCTTGTTTGTCTGCTTGACTGTTTGTTTGTCTTTGTTTGCTCGATTTGTTGTTGCTTGTGTGTTTGTGTGGTGGTTTGTTTAGTTTGTGTTTGTTTGTGTGTCTTTGTTTGTGTTTTGAGTGTTTGTGTGTTTGTGTGTTTGGTTGTTTGGTTGGTTGATTGCGTGTTTGTTTGATTGCTTGTTTGTTTGTTTGTTTGTGTGATTGTTTGCTTGTTTGTTTGTTTGTTTGTATGTATGTTTGTTTGTTTGTTTGTGTGTTTGTTTGTTTGTTTGTTTGTTTGTTTGTTTGTTTGTTTGTTTGTTTGTTTGTTTGTTTGTTTGTTTGTTTGTTTGTTTGTTTGTTTGTTTGTTTGTTTGTTTGTTTGTTTGTTTGTTTGTTTGTGTGTGTGTGTGTGTTTGTGTGTGTGTGTGTTTTGTTTGTTTGTTTGTTTGTTTGTTTGTTTGTTTGTTTGTTTGTTTGTTTGTTTGTTTGTTTGTGTGTTGTTTTGTGCTTGTTTGTTTGTGTGCTTGTTTGTTTGTTTGCTTGCTTGCTTGCTTGCTTGCTTGCTTGCTTGCTTGCTTGCTTGCTTGCTTGCTTGCTTGCTTGCTTGCTTGGTGGGTGGGTGGGTGGGTGGGTGGGTGGGTATGTGTTTGGTTGTGTGTTCTTTGCTTTTTTGTTTATTTGTTTGTTTGTTTGTTATGTTGTTTGTTTGATTGTTTGTTTTTCTTTGTTTGTGTGTGTTTGTGTGTGCGTGCTTGTTTCTTCGATTGTCTGTTTGTTTGGTTGGTTGTTGGGTTGTCTGGTTGGGTGTGTTATTGTTTGGTTGTTTCGTTTGTTGGGTGTGTATGTGATTTGTTTCTTTGTTTGCTGATTGTTTGTTTGTGTGTCTGTGTTTTTGTTTGTGTCAGTTTGATTGGTTGTTTAATTGTTTGTGTATTTTTATTTGCTTGTGTTGTTGTGATGTTTGTTTGTTTGATTTGTTTGTTTGTTCGTTCATGCGCTTGTTTCTCTGCTTGATGGGTTTTGTTTGTGTTGTTGTTTTGTTTGGTTGTTGGGTTTGTGTTTGTGTTTCTGTTTGTGTTTGTGTTTGTGTTTGTGTTTGTGTTTGTGTTTGTTGTTGTTTTTTTTGTGTTCGGCTTTGTTGTTTGCTTGCCTGTCTGTCTGTTTGCCTGCCTGTTTGCCTGTTTGCATGCCTGCCTGCCTACCTGCCTGTTTGTGTGCCTCTCTGTCTGCCCTTGTTTGTTTTGCTTTGTTTGCATGGCTTCCTTTAGTTTCTTTGGTTCTGTTTACTTTGTGTTGCTCGGCTTTGCATGCTTGTGGGCTCGTTTTTATATGCGCTTGTGTTCGTGCGCTTTGTGTTTGCTTTTTGTGCGTTTGCTTTTGTTCTGCTTGCTGTGTTCGTTCATCTGCTTGGCTTCTGCTCTTCGGCTGCTGTTCTCTGGCTCCAAGTCTTGCTCGCTGGAGTGGCCGTTCGGTGCAACGTGAGGAGTCGTGTCTCTTTCTCGCCTGGGCGCGTCCTTTTTCTTGGGAAAAGCCCATGATTTCTGCGATTAAAGGCAGGCCAGAAGGACAAAACAAGCCATCACTTTTGGCCAAAAGGGCAAACCCATCTTGCCCATATGAGGGACACTGGTCAACCAATGCCATTGGAGAGGTCGGGAGTTTCCCAGGATTTTGAGGCCCGCAAACTTTGGGGGGGTGATCCCGTGAGGAAGCCCCCACCAAAAGGGGCACCCCCCCTATTCGAGGGAGGCATTTGATTCAGGGTTCCCATTTCGCCCCTTGAGTATCAGGGCCACAGCATCAGAGGCGGATCCTTCTGGGATCCTTCTCAGAGGGCGATGGGTGAGAGAATCTGAATCGGACTGACCTGATTCAGTGCCCCAAAGTTGAACTCAGACATGGACGTTTTGTTTGAGGGAGCCTTTTTTGGAGTTGGTTTAAACGGAGAAAGAAAAGGGCGGCCAGTCATTTTTTGGGTCCAAAGTCTTCTGTGTGCCACGGGTTTGTCTCAAGGTTTCCGTTTTCGAAGTAAAACCATACAAAACCCCCCAACATGGGTGGTTTCCTCTTGTTTTGGACAGAAGGCCATGCAAAAAAACCAAGGGGTTCCCCGCAAGGTCGGCGGTAATCTTCGCCCCCTCTGAATTCTTGCCCGGGTTTCCGCTGGGTTTCGATGATGTTTTGCCCTGGAACACATGCAGCCCGAGACCAAAAAAAGAACCGATTTGCGTTCTTTTCTTTCCGGAGGGGCTGCCAAAAACACGGTTTTGTTTGCTACCACGCCAAAACCTGCAAAGATAAATCACGTAAATGATGTCCCACCCATCAAAGGGCCACACCTGCTGCGCTCACTCCCTGGAGGAGCTGCACTTGTCCAAGGCGGATGAGAGTTTGCTGGTCAAAATCCTGGATGATGGCGTGGAGAACCTCTGCAAGTGGGCACTGGCGCATTGGGGGGGGGAGTGGAGGGGTAGGGGGAGTGGGGGTTGTTGGGGCGGGTCCGGGGCAGGCAATCCACAGGTAAAAAGGAGCTTCAAACTCATTGGTGGTTCCCAGCCATCCGGTTCCTAGACAGGAAGGGGCTGTTAGATTTTATGTTGGAATCCGCGTTTGCGATGCTTCTACACCACGCCCCCACCCAGTATCCCACCAGAGAAGCTCGCCAGTGGATCCCGCCAAGTATCCCGCCAGAGCTGCTCGCCAGTGGATCCCGCCGAGTATCCCGCCAGAGCATCCCGCCGAGTCCAAGTATCCCACCAGAGAAGCTCTCCAGTGGATCCCGCCAAGTATCCCGCCAGAGCTGCTCGCCAGTGGATCCCCCAGAGCTGCTCGCCAGTGGATCCCGCCGAGTATCCCGCCAGAGCGGCTCGCCAGTGGATCCCGCCGAGTATCCCGCCAGAGCGGCTCGCCAGTGGATCCCGCCGAGTATCCCGCCAGAGCTGCTCGCCAGTGGATCCCGCCGAGTATCCCGCCAGAGCGGCTCGCCAGTGGATTCCGTCGAGTATCCCGCCAGAGCAGCTGGCCAGTGGATCCCGCCGAGTTTCCCGCCAGAGAAGCTCTCCAGTGGATCCCGCCAAGTATCCCGCCAGAGCTGCTCGCCAGTGGATCCCCCAGAGCTGCTCGCCAGTGGATCCCGCCGAGTATCCCGCCCAGAGCGGCTCGCCAGTGGATCCCGCCGAGTATCCCGCGAGAGCCGCTCCCCACTGGATCCCCCAGAGCGGCTCGCCAGTGGATCCCCCGCCGAGTATCCCGCCAGAGCGGCTCGCCAGTGGATCCCGCCGAGTATCCCGCCAGAGCTGCTCCCCAGTGGATGCTCGCCAGTGGATCCCGCCGAGTATCCCGCCAGAGCTGCTCGCCGGTGGATCCCGCCGAGTATCCCGCCGAGCGGCTTGCGCCGAGTATCCCGCCAGAGCGGCTCGCCAGTGGATCCCGCCGAGTATCCCGCCAGAGCTGCTCGCCAGTGGATCCCGCCGAGTATCCCGCCAGAGTCCCGCCAGAGCGGCTCGCCAGTGGATCCGCTCGCCAGTGGATCCCGCCGAGTATCCCGCCAGAGCGGCTCGCCAGTGGATCCCACCGAGTATCCCGCCAGAGCTGCTCGCCGGTGAATTGCGCCGAGTATCCCGCCGAGCGGCTTGCGCCGAGTATCCCGCCAGAGCGGCTCAGTGGATCCCGCCGAGTATGTTGATCCCCCAGAGCTGCTCGCCAGTGGACCCCGCCGAGTATCCCGCCAGAGCGGCTCGCCAGTGGATCCCGCCGAGTGTCCCGCCAGACTGCTCGCCGGTGGATCCCGCCGAGTATCCCGCCGTGCGGCTTGCGCCGAGTATCCCGCCAGAGCGGCTCGCCAGTGGATCCCGCCGAGTATCCCGGCAGAGCGGCTCGCCAGTGGATCCCGCCGAGTATCCCGCCAGAGCTGCTCGCCAGTGGATCCCGCCGAGTATCCCGCCAGAGCAGCTCGGCAGTGGATCCCGCCGAGTATCCCGCCAGAGCTGCTCGCCAGTGGATCCCCTCCCAGTATCCCGCCAGAGCTGCTCGCCGGGCGATCCCGCCAAGTATCCCGCCGAGCGGCTTGCGCCGAGTATCCTGCCAGAGCGGCTCGCCAGTGGATCCCGCCGAGTATCCCGCCAGAGCAGCTCGCCAGTGGATCCCGCCGAACATCCCGCCAGAGCAGCTGGCCAGTGGATCCCGCCACAGCTCCAGCGAGTCCCGCCGAGTATCCTGCCAGAGCTGCTCGCCGGTGGATCCCGCCGAGTATCCCGCCAAAACGCTGGCGACTGGATGCCGCAGAGTACCCCGCCAGAGTGGATCCCACCGCCGAGTATCCCACCAGAGCAGCCCCCGTCGTCAGTGGATCCCGCCAAGTATCCCACTAATTATCCCAGAGTGGATCCCGCCGAGCATCCCGCCAGAGTAGCTCGGTATGGATCCCGCCAAGTGTTCCACCAGAGCAGCCCGCCAGCGGATCCCGCCGAGTATCCCGCTGAGTGTATCTGAATAGTATCCCAGAGTAGCTCGCCAGTGGAGCCCGCCGAGTATCCCGCTGACTATCCCTTGCCAGTGGATCCTGCCGAGTATCCGGCCAGTATCGAGCCGGAGCGGCTTGCCAGCATTCGCCAGTGGATCCCGCCAGTATCCGCCAGCTACATTTCATGTTGGTGCCTTCGTGTTTTGAGTATACCCTGAGGCTCGGAAAGGGTGATGCTTTTGTGTTCTTTTGGGTTGTGAATAGGCAACTTGGTTTAATCCCCCGTTGGGTTTCTTTTTGGATTGGGCTTGGCTTTTGTTAACGGAGCCGATGCTTGAGTTCTCGAGATCGGCTCGCAGACAAGTGGAGTTTACACACAGACAGGTGGATAAGGCCCCAGGCCACTCCAAAAACAATGCTTGAATTCACACAACCGTGTTCACGCTCGTAAGCTCGTGAGTGTGGAGGGTGGGGATTGCTTGAAGCGAAGTATTTTGGATTTTTGTTCGTTGGTTTAGTTGTAGGGTTCGAATTTCACCACGGGAATTTTCAAAAAGAAAAGTCCGTTGGAGAAGTTTCATGGATCTAGGGGTTGACCCCCCATTCTGTTCAACCATTGTTCTTTTACAAAACCGGATCCGTTGGCCTGCCATCGGCACGTATTTATCCCATTAAAACGATTTCGATTGCGGGAGCCACCTTGAGAGGCACCCACGTGGTTGTTTGCCGCATTGGGAGATTCACACACTCATCTCGTTTGTTTAAGGCGTTTTCCGCACAAATGCGGTGTTTTGCAAGTTGCTTTCAAGGCGTTACCCGCTACTCTCAGGGCTTCATCCAGGATCAGGATCAGTCCCCAGAATCCATCGTGTTCGAGCACCCATTGCTGAACCCCTTTCGGTTGCCTTTACAGGCTGCCAAGGCTTGTTGCAAGCACTTTCCTCCAAACCTATTCTTCCCTATGATTTGCAGGGCTCTGCCCCAGAAATCTAAGGGTGTGATTCCCCATTCTCTGCACCCGTCGATCTCTATACAAACCACCTATTTTCCAGGGTTTGGCCCAGTGCGAAGAGAAGGATCCCTGATTCGAGAACAGCTAAATAATTTTTGACACACTGGGAAACCATTGATCCGCTGTTTAAAAAAATAGAAATAAACTAGGGCGGGTTTTTTACTAGGGCTGGATTGGTTGGCTGGCTGGCTGGCTGGTTGGTTGGTTGGTTGGTTGGTTGGCTTGCCGCATCCCCAGCATCACCAACCTCACTTGGCCCGGGGGGTTGCCTATCGATTGGCTCAGATTGGGGGGCGGGTTTAAGTTGAGGGGATTAGGCTGGCTTAGATCTTCATGAGGGTGGGTGGGTCTTGGGACGGGGTTGATGTATATGAAGCGAAGGGCCGACATCTGCTGTTGGTCGGGTTTAGGGTTGACTTTGGGTGGATTTGGGGTTGGAGCTGATGTGTGTTGGGTGTGCCGCTGGCTTTAGGGTTGCTTTAGGAGCAACCAGGGCCAATAGGCAACCCCCGGGCCAAGAGGAAGAAACCAGCCCTAGGAAGCAAGAGCATCTCTACCGGGAAACCATTATTTGTTGGCCTTTGCAGGGGAATCATCATTCCAGGGTTGTTTAGGTGGAGCAGGATGTCGTCCATCCACAGCCAACAACCAAAAACAAGCCACAAAAACACAACGCGCACACACACACACACACACACACAGACACACACACACGCAAAACACGACACATCAAAGTGCAGCATCCGACCGAAAAAGCAGGCGCCGGCATCCTGGTGGGACGAATGCCTGGGCCTTGAGCTGACTTGGGACAGAGCCTCACAAGTTGTTTGCAGCGAGACCGGGTCCCTTACATGGCTGTGGCTCAGAAAAATGCAGCGAAATGGCACCTTGGTAAGTGACCCCAAAGACGTGGGTAACCCGGGCTCCTTAATTTTGTGCCGCGCCCACATCAACAACAAACGTAATGATAATAATAAGAAGACAAGTAGTTATAATGACAATGATAGCATCAATACTACGATGAACGATAATAATGCTGATGCTATTAATAATGATAGTAATCATAGTAGCAGAGATGGGGTGGGATCAAACTGGCTCCCCATGGTGGGCAACGTCTCCCGATCAAACTGCCTGGGGGTCTTGTCGTAGACAGGCAAAACCCAAAAAGGCAAACTGGTCAACTCTTCTTTTGACTTGGCATATTCTCTCTACCTGGAGCCTCAAACTTGCCATAGAACATGGGAAATGTCCCCAATGGGGCTTGTCCGGGTAGTTTGAGGGTCCAGGTGCTTATGTCTTGGCGCAAATGTCCCTCTATCCGCTTGGGGGAGACAAAGACAACCGGGAGAACCCCCCAAAAACAGAACATTATCAATACATGTCAATACAGAGCAGTCCCAGGACCAAACAGAGCTGAACTTGGTGAATTCAGGGCTGGAGAGGGGATTCGGATCCTCGCAAGGGCTGCCACTGTTGCTAGGGGGTGCTACAACTTTACATACCTGGTCTGGGATTGTAATTAGGCCTTACAGCTGAAAAGTCACCTCGGCAGGTCCAAAAGTGAATGTGAGCGCTCATTTGGAGCGTCGTCCTTTAGAAACAGCAGTGTACAGACGTTTTCAATTTTCAAATATGCCGAGTGTATGCCAAATATTTCGGAACCACATCCTGCCATAGCAAGGCGAAGCCACTACCGCCAAACGTCCCCACAGACGCCTCGACCAGACGCAATCTAGAAACCTTTGATAACTGTGACCAGTGACCCTTCAGGGTCGTTCCAGGACCTATAGCCTACTACTGTGGATAAACAAAATCCTGCACCACTTTGAAACCAAGAAAAACCAATGCTGGTTGGCATTTACAGGGGAATCATCAACGCAGGGTGTTTTAGGTGGTGCCGGGTTTCGTCCATCCACAGTAGCTCTGAAAATTTAAATGGGGACCTCTTCACAATGGCCCAAGACGAGTCCCAGGAAGAAGAAGGCTGCTCGCTTGTGTGTCAATCAGACGTAATCAGCTTGGGCGCGCAAACCAGGTCCCAAGCGTGACATGCGACGCGTGGGGTTTTAGGAATGGCTGGCAAGGGCGAGTCAGTAAGAAGCAGATTGAGCTGCAGTGATGAGAGTTCATGTGTTGATTGGTTCTTTGAGCATGCCGGCAGCATACGCTTGGAGTTTCGAAGTTTGTCCCTTCCAACCTCGTGAGGAACTCCATTTCGAAGATCCCATTCCAGTGAGTGTTTCTCAAAACAGGGGTCCCCTAAAACGGTACCGCTGCTTCGTTGGTGTCCCTTTCAATGTCAAACAGCAGTAGAGTCCGCCATTTTGAGAAACTCCTTTGGTGCATTTTGCCACGGGATGTTAGGACTTCACCTTTTCGCCAACTAATGGGATTTCCATTAAACCACGAAAAGTTCAACTTTTACCAGGGCAGCAGAAAGCAACCGAGACTCCCAGTTGGTTCATCGCGCGGCGCCAGTCAGAAGGTACCCACATGATTCACCAGCAAAAAGGGCACACTTGGCCGATACGTGACCTGCCAAAGTCATGAGTTAGACTAGGTCCCCCAGCTAGGTGCCCTTTCTCACCGCTTTTTTGGTTGGGAGGGTTCCCTTATTAAAATAGACAACAGAAAAAGTTGATACCCTTTTTCTAACCTCTCCACTGGAGGACCTAGTAGATTTGATTCAAAGAGTTATAGTTACTATAGTTTGTCATTCTTTGGTTGGCTTAAGTCGGCTAAAGTTTGTCTTGATCGTATTGATTGATGACATTTGATGTTCATTTTCCTCGAACCACGTCCCATAGGCGCTTAAATGGCAGTTATGCGGTTGGTGAACATAAGATGATCATGAGTAGTTGCTGCACCAACGCCTTTTCATGTTTTTTGCTTTTTCCCCAAAAAAAGGTCGGCAGGGGCCCTTAAAGGATACGCCTGACTTGGCCGCGTCGGGTCACCCTCTCGCTGGTTTGGCCCGGTATCTAGGTCACAGCCTGCGCCTCGGTGGCCTCAAGGATGCGAAACACTTCACCAGAAGGCCGAGCAAAGACTTACCTCTTTGCCGGTGTTTTGCTTTTTGTTTTTTGTTGTTGCGATGTTTGTGAGTTTCTAATTCGCTTGGTTTCCATTTGTTTGCCAACTTTGGTTTGTTTGGCCAGGGTTTCCGGTTGTTTGGTGTTGCTTTGGGGCTTTGCCGCTTCTTTGGTCCGCCAGGATGGAGGGTTTCCCGATCCGGCTTCAGATGGTCAGCGCAGAGTGGGAGGACGTGTCGTTGAAGGAGTTGCTGGTGTTGTCGGAGGCCGGCTGGTCCATTTTTTGGTTGGCCGTTGGTTGTTTGTTGTTGGTTGTTGGTTGTTGGTATTGGGGTTTGGTTGCTTGCTTGCTTGGTTGCTTTCTTGCGTGCTTGCTTGCTTGCTTGGTTCCTTGGTTGCTTGGAGGATTTGTTGGTTGGTTGGCTGGTTGATTGGTTGGTTGGTTGGCTGGCTGGTTGATTGATTGATTGGTTGGTTGATTGTAGCTTTTGGTTGTGGTTGTTGCTGGGGGAATTGCCTTATGGCCGCCAGGATGCTCTCGGGGGATTTGGGTCTTCCTAGTTTTCTTTGGGTTTCCTTTGGGCGTCCTTTCCGGGTGCCCGGTCCACGTGAAGCGGTGTTCTTTGGGTTTGGGCGTCAGTTTGATCGGGTGCTCAGTTTTTCCCCTCCGCAAGTAGCGAAGGCCTCTGAGACCTGCCTGAAGCTGACCTTCGACCCGGTGATCAACTCCATGACCACGCGGCTCCGCTTCGGCGACGGCCGGGCACGTCCCTTGGCGAGAAAGAAATCGGGGGGTTCTTGGCCAGTCGCGTTTTTTCTTCAGGCGATCGCTGCGTGACACCGAGATAAGAACCATCCAGAGAAATGGCTCACTTCCATTTGCTTAAGAACACTTGTATGTTCCCTTGTTGGTTCTAGAAGGAATTTGTCACTGCTGTTTGTCTTTTTTGTCCCAGGGGTCTTAGCTAAATGGAAGCTCATGACACCGATTTAGAAACCATCCAACGTGTGGTTTCCTTTATTCGGGAATCCCTGGGTTCATTCCCTCAAGAGCACCAGCAAGTCTTTTGAGGGGAAGCAACGATATCTGACAGGGGGTGCAGGGAACCCTGCTCGAAAGTGGTGGGAACGAAGGGTGACCAAACACGAAAACCCTTTAACCCAAACCCACTCTGGGTTGTGCCTTTTCTTGTTTGAGGGGGTTCTTCAACCGTTAAACTGCTTTTAGCTGTCTTCCTGATGCTTTCCCTTATTCCCGATCTGACAGGGAACACATTTTGCCCTGCAAAACATACACATACTATACCTGTCTTAGATGGTTCTACCTGCTTCATGCGCACGGTGGATGTCCCTGCAGTCTTGCAAGTAAACCAGCCATCGTTAATCAACCACAAAGCCACAGCAAATCATGGGACACAGGGAGGGTTGGATCTTTAACCTGCAACTTGCAACTTTAACCTTCAACCTATCAACATCAGCAACAATCAGCAACATCTGCTAAACACTAAAATATGGTTGGAAACATCAACTGTTTCGGTCTTTAGCTGAGACCTGTCATGCATGATGGTTGTTCGGAGGGGCATCTCCTTTCAAAACTCAACCACCACAAAGAGAGTGCCCTTTGCTCCCTCGTGGCCGGGGGGGTCTTGAACAAAGGATGTCAAGCACCTCCTGTTTGGGTAAATCAACCTTTTGGAGTTGTTCCACCGAACCAAAGATCAAACCTGTTGGAATAAGCGAGTGCTGTTGCCACCAAGGTCTACTGCGGACCATGACCAACCCGACATTGATGGGTTTGATCTCCGCGCGGGAGGCGGGAGGTGGCTTTTTTGTTTCAAATGTGTGTTTCCGTTGATGGTTGTTTTGTTGTTGTTGTTGATTGGTTTCTTTGTTTTGCGTTTTCCT